GAACTAATAAATCTACGACATTTGAACGGCTGTGTTTGACACGTCAGCTGAAAAAGAATAGGATCGGCCTATCGATCAAAAGTATATTGTAATAGGCACTCCCTTACAAATGAGCCCTTTGGACATAACGTTTTGTTTTGACAGCATAAGTAACATATTTTGTTTGACAGTCTAGCTGATCTATTTTACGCTCTCATGATTTTTAAAAAGATTAACTACACAGAGCATAGAGTAAAAGATAATACCTATTGTAGGATATACTAGCTGTTGCAAGCGACTTTGTCTGCGTGAAATTGAAAAATATAGATTATGTCATAGGTGAAAGAATTTTTTGAATTGGCCCAGTAGTTTTTGAGTTATTTCAATACATACAAATATAAAATCTTTCTTCTTTATAATATTAGTAGATTATTGTATATTTATATTTTTGTGTAACTCATAAACTTAAAAACTACCGGACCGATTACAAAAATTCTTTCGCCATTAAAAAGCTACGTTATCGAAGAGTAACATAGGCTAAGTTATTTGTTATTAAAATATTAAAAACAATGTTTACCTATACAACAGGGTAGGATAGACCAATAGTATAAAATTATAGAACAAACAGTATAACAACTATCAATACGTCAATCGGAATTAACTAGGGTAGTGTGAAGCAATATTGACGTATTCATTAGTGGTATTGTCTCCGGGTATCAGGGGTCGTAAATATTAGGGTATTATTATTAAGTTGATATAATTTTTATACCAAGAAAAAGTAGGCTAACTACGTAATTCTAACAAATTATTAAAAAAATAAAGAGCGTCGGTGGCTCAGTGGTTTAAACACTAGACTTGTAATCTACAGGTCTTGGGTTCGAATCCCGCCATGTACCAATGTGATTTTCGATTTTCGAATTTTCATATGTTACATAATTTACCCGACGCTCTTACGGTGAAGGAAAACATCGTGATGTAACCTACACATATCGGGGAAGAAATTCAAAGATATGTGTGATGTAAACCAACCCGCACTTGGCCAGCGTGGTTGACTATGGCCTAGTCACCCCTTATTAGGGTAGGCTCCGAGCCCCTCGATGGGGACGTATAGTGAGCTGGTGATGACGATGATGATGATGATTGAAAGGTTCTTAATTGATAAAACTATTTTCAATTAATAAGGTACTATAACCCCATAACTTCTGATTCGTTTCGTTTTCAAAAAGTCTAAGAGTTTTTCGCAATAACCAAATTAAGAACATAAACGAGAGCATTGGTTAAATAAAAGAAAAACAACACAATTTTTATCATAAGTAAGAAAGTAAGTTATTAACACAAGAACCCAGATATATTTAGCCGCCAAGCATATCAGTATGGCTCTGAGATTTGATTTACGAGGTCAATTTAGCCCCCAGTTACCGAAAGTAGTGGACAGTGGCTCATATCTGATCTTACATGTCGTAAATAATACTTGGACTGTTTATCATGGCACCGCTG